CAAGGCGCCCCGTGCTTATCCGTGACAGAGCGCAAGTAAACATGACAGTGCTTGTGGCGCCATGCAGCTGACAGCTCTCGAAGCCGAGTGGGTTTGGATGATGTGGTAGAGGGTGCGTAGCGGTATCCATTGCGGCGTCAGCCTCGCGGCGCTGCAGCTGAGCGCGAGTCGTAGCGGCAAAGTCGCAGTGCAACTTGCGAGGATCGTGCTACTGCGCGGTCACTGAGCCGTAGAAGTCCAGAAGCATGGGGCATGACCTGCATGCGCTCGATGCAATGTCCTGCCTGCCTGCACGATGGGCCTTGTTCAGGGCCAGCATCCAAGAGCAGTCTTCCTCTGGGAGCCTAGGGGCCTTGATTTCTTCAGCGCGAAACCGAACTCTCCGAGAAACCTCGTGCATCGTATCTTTCAGGTCCAGGACGCGCTGCGCAGGACCAGGATCGGCATCTATCGCGCCATGCAAGTTGCGGAGCTCGAGGGCGAGACCCCGCGCCCCTGGAGACCCACTTCGGAATCGATGGAGGCGTTCCGCTGCGCGCGGGCGGCGACGGCCTGGCAGAGACGGCGGCAGGGGCGCTTGGAAGCTCGCCGCTAAGGGCGTGCCAGACAACGCCAGATATCGGTTAAAGTCCATCGAGCCCATGCTGGGGACAATTAAAAATATGCGGTCCCAGCGACCGGACGAGGGGATAGCAACATATTTCACAATCTTGTGAGTCGCGTCCTCCTGTTGAACCTCGGCCAGGCCTGGTCATTGCGAATAGAAGTAGCAAGCGATATGGCCGGCAGCGAGACGAACGTGCCCATCTGCAACCCTACGACGACCCTTCCCTCCTCATGGAAACTGAAATCATCACTCACAATCCATATTGTCTCTGAAAAGTTCGGACGGGAAGCGCCCAGGATACGAGTGGCCCCCTTTAATTAGACCGGGGAAAGGAAGGATCATGATGAGCAGTAGCGACGACCAAAGTGCTGGCACGTCTAGCACAATGAACGGAGAGAGTGCGGCCAGGAGTAATGCGGGCAGGAGTGAACGTGCTGACATGTTGAACAAGCCGACCATGGATAAACATGAACGCACCACCAGCAGCCTTACAGTCCGGGAAGGAGCCGTAGATTTTGACGGAAGGCTAACGCATTCGAAATTCCCCAAAATCACCCCCATAACCGTAGCACTCGTGAATCATCATAATCCCACGGCGGCGCAGTAGATACTTCAAGGACGAAAGTTTACGACCGTCAGTAGAGTGATAGGCCCATCTACTTCCGCATCGCGTATGAGAGTTCCAAGTGTATGCTGCAAAGGCACACGTCGAAGCCTGGAACGGAACCTCAGGAAATCCACTCGATAACGAAGACACCGAGGAGGAAGAGGACGAAGAGGAGGAGGAGGGAGGGGCCCCTGAACATCTCCTGGGCCTGGACCACTGGTAACGCTCATTTTGCAAAAAAAAAAAAATGCTAACGGAGTTCCCCACATAAAGAGATTAACGGGCTCGTGGGACCCATTTTCTTGATGCCCTCCTCGCTTTGGCGGGGCCCCGCTGGAAGGGGGGAGGGCTACGAAACCTGGTTTTCGGATACCCTCCTCGCTCAGGCGGGGCTTCCCTGCAGGGGTGGGAGGGGCACGAAACCATGTAAATAGTATGGTTTTCGGATACCCTCCTCGCTCAGGCGGGGCCTCCCTGGAGAGGTGGGAGGGGCACGAAACCATGTAAATAGTATGGTTTTCGGATACCCTCCTCGCTCAGGCGGGGCCTCCCTGGAGGTGTGGGAGGGGCACGAAACCATGTAAATAGTATGGTGTTGCCTCCCTGGAGAGGTGGGATGGGGCACGAAACCATGTAAATAGTATGGTTTTCGGATACCCTCCTCGCTCAGGCGGGGCCTCCCTGCAGGGGTGGGAGGGGCACGAAACCAGGTAAATAGTATGGTATTCCGATACCCTCCTCGCTCAGGCGGGGCCTCCCTGGAGGGGTGGGAGGGGCACGAAACCATGTAAATAGTATGGTTTCGGATACCCTCCTCGCTCAGGCGGGGCCTCCCTGGAGGTGTGGGAGGGGCACGAAACATGGTATGGGGGCCTCCCTGGAGGGGTGGGAGGGGCACGAAACCATGTAAATAGTATGGTTTTCCGATACCCTCCTCGCTCAGGCGGGGCCTCCCTGGAGGGGTGGGAGGGGCACGAAACCATGTAAATAGTATGGTATTCCGATACCCTCCTCGCTCAGGCGGGGCCTCCCTGGAGGGGTGGGAGGGGCACGAAACCATGTAAATAGTATGGTTTCGGATACCCTCCTCGCTCAGGCGGGGCCTCCCTGGAGGGTGGGAGGGGCACGAACCATGTAAATAGTATGGTTTCCGATACCCTCCTCGCTCAGGCGGGGCCTCCCTGGAGGGTGGGAGGGGCACGAAACCATGTAAATAGTATGGTTTTCCGATACCCTCCTCGCTCAGGCGGGGCCTCCCTGGAGGGGTGGGAGGGGCACGAAACCATGTAAATAGTATGGTATTCCGATACCCTCCTCGCTCAGGCGGGGCCTCCCTGGAGGGGTGGGAGGGGCACGAAACCATGTAAATAGTATGGTATTCCGATACCCTCCTCGCTCAGGCGGGGCCTCCCTGGAGGGTGGGAGGGGCACGAAACCATGTAAATAGTATGGTCCGATACCCTCCTCGCTCAGGCGGGGCCTCCCTGGAGGGGTGGGAGGGGCACGAAACCATGTAAATAGTATGGTTTTCCGATACCCTCCTCGCTCAGGCGGGGCCTCCCTGGAGGGGTGGGAGGGGCACGAAACCATGTAAATAGTATGGTTTCCGATACCCTCCTCGCTCAGGCGGGGCCTCCCTGGAGGGGTGGGAGGGGCACGAAACCATGTAAATAGTATGGTTTTCCGATACCCTCCTCGCTCAGGCGGGGCCTCCCTGGAGGGGTGGGAGGGGCACGAAACCATGTAAATAGTATGGTTTCCGATACCCTCCTCGCTCAGGCGGGGCCTCCCTGGAGGGGTGGGAGGGGCACGAAACCATGTAAATAGTATGGTATTCCGATACCCTCCTCGCTCAGGCGGGGCCTCCCTGGAGGGGTGGGAGGGGCACGAAACCATGTAAGTAGTATGGTTTTCGGTATGGAGTGGTATGGAATGGTATGGTAGGTATGGTATGGTACGGTATGGTATGATATGGTATGGTATGGTACTGGAGGTATGGTATGGTATGGTACGGTGTGGCGTTGGTGTGATATGGTATGGTATGCTATGGTACGCCATGGTATGGTATGGTACGGTATGGTACGTATGGTGTGGTATGGTATGGTATGGTATGGTATGTGTGGTAGGAACTATGGTATGGTATGGTGTGTGGTAGGAATGATATTGTGCGGTATGGAAGATGGAGCGGGAGGTGGGTGGGAAGGAGAGGGTGTTCTGGGAAAACAAGAACCCCACTCAGGATGTGGGGAAAAACACTTCTCGAATTAGCCTGAGACCCTGATGGCTCTGACCTACGCGTAGAGCAGCTGTCTTGCACCCACAGGCCACGCGTGCAGTGGGAATCGGGCCCGCTGCTCTCCCCAGGCCGGCAGTCTGGCGGACGCCTGACTTCGCAAGCTGAGCCATGTTTCCATAGACGAGCCTCCTAGTGCTTGATCTTGCTGATGCGCTCCAGCATGTTGTGCAAGTCCCTCGCCTTCTCCCTCCAGTCCTGAGGTTGTCCAGCACGGACTCGTACGTGCACCCATGGACGCGGCAGCCTCGAATCCCAGGCAGCTCATGCATTTCATCTGCAGAGCTGAAGTGCACGAGCCCCTGATATTCATTGACTCCTAGTTTGTAGCCAGCCATGTCCTGTTGGCCACCACGTAGCAGCTCAAGAGTACCTTGCCAAACTAGGGAAGCAGCACGTTGGAGAGCACGCTCGTCGATGGGCAGGTCGCCACGAGCACGGATCTCGTGGAAGCGACCCGTCCGCGGGTCCTGCCAGGAAATGTCAATGCCCTTGATGATGTTGCTGACGTTCTCCGCGGGCTGCTCTGAGTCGAAGTCCACCGGGTAGCTTTTGCCCACCCATGCAATAGATACTATCGCGGCCTGCTGTAACTGAGTAGAAAGCCACGGGAGGACGGTGCTGTCCCAGTGTTGCTGCCGTTGTGCACCTGTCAGCGTCCGAAGAAATGTGCTGATCCACCGCCTCGTCCTGACCATCCTCGGACTGTTGCCACTCAACGAGCTAGTGGCTGTGCTACCCGGCCCTCTGCCACCAGTCGCAGAGCGCGGTGATGGCCGTTGATTTTTCAGCTCGGTGACGGCCTGGTCCAAGTCCGCCATTGCCTCCTTGACCTTCGCGTCGGTAGCGGCGGCCATTGCACGTCCCATTGAGCCAGCAGCCTGCGCCTCGAGCTTCTTCGTGCGATCCGCGAGGGTGTCGAGGGCCTTCCACTGCGAGGTGAGACTCTCGTTGGCTCCGGTGAAATCAAATCAGACTTCGAGGTGCCGTCCAGGTCCGCAACACGCGTGTTTGTGGTGCCGATGCTTTTCATCAGGTCTTTCATGGCACCTCTGATGGGGCCACACCCTGTGGTCGACCATGATCAGCATCACCTCGCCGGCGGTCACGGTGATTGGCCCGAGCTGCTGAGCGGGAACGGCTACGTTTCTTTTCCTTTCTCTCCTTCTTATGCCGACGCTGGTCACGTTGGCCATCCACGAATCCTTCATCAGAGCTGCCCATCCCATCGTGCGCCATGGCGGCAGGAGATGCTGGCGTGATCCTCGTGATGGCGGAACGTTGCGCGTGAGCAGCGAAACATGCTGCTAGGCCTGTCCCAAAAGGCGGACGCTGAGCCTTCCCCTTGGCTGCGTCCAAGCTTGAGCCAAAATGGCTTGAGCCAAAATTGCGACGGAAAGGAAGACGACGAGGAGCAGGAGGAGGAGGTGGAGGAGGAGGAGGAGGAGGAGGAGATGGAAGAGCGAGTTGGGCCCTGGCGGGCTCCAAGCGTCCTCCACCGCCCGCCGCTCCTCATGCGGGCTGCCCGGCTCCGCCCCCGCGCCCGTTCCGGCCGGTGCCTCTCGCACCTCCTCCTGCAGCCTCTGTAGCTCCGCCTGAGCAACCACTCCCTCTTCATCCTCCTCGTCCTCCTTTTCCTCCTCTCTCCTTCCCTTTCCTTCTCTCTCCTCCTCCTCCTCCTCTCTCCTTATCTCTCCTTCTCTCACCTTCTCTCTCCTCCTCCCCCTCGTCCTCCTCCCCTTCGTCGTCCTCCTCTTTTTCCTCTTCCTCCTCTTCCTCCTCCTCTTCCTCCTCCTCCTCCTCCTCCTCCTCCTCCTCCTCTTCGTCCTCCTCCTCGACCTCGTCCTCCTCATCCTCCTCCTCCTCCTCCTCCTTATCCTCCTGTTCTTCCTTCTCCTCCTCCTCTTCCTCCTCCTCAGCATCAGCATCATCAGCATCATCAGCATCATCAGCATCATCAGCATCAGCATCAGCATCATCATCAGCATCAGCATCAGCATCAGCATCAGCATCATCATCATCATCATCATCATCATCATCATCATCATCATCATCAGCAGCAGCAGCAGCAGCACCATCAGCAACATCAGCACCATCAACACCATCAGCACCATCAGCACCATCAGAACCAGCAGCATCATGATCATCAACATCAACATCATCGTCAGCAGCATCAGCATCAGCATCAGCATCAGCATCCGCATCAGCATCAGCATCAGCATCAGCATCCGCATCCGCATCAGCATCAGCATCAGCATCAGCATGATCATCGGCATCCTCCTCCTCCTCCTCCTCATCATCATCAACAACACCATCATCATCATCAGCAGCAGAGCAGCAGCAGCATCAGCATCGTCATCGTCATCGTCATCGTCATCGTCATCGTCGTCATCTACATCCTCATCCTCATCCCAATCCTCATCCTCATCATCATCGTCTTCCTCATCCTCATCCTCATCCTCATGCTCGCCCTCCTCCTGCTCCTCCTCCTCCTCCTCCTCTCTCCTCCTCTCTCCTCCTCCCTCCTTCGTTTTCCTTCTCCCTCCTCCTCTCTCCACCTCTCTCCTCCTCTCTCCTCCTGTCTCCTCCTCGTCCTTCTCCTCCTCCTGTTCCTCCTCCTCCTCCCCCTCCTCCTCCTCCTCCTCCTTCCTCCTGTCTCGTCCTCTCTCCTCCTCTCTCCTCCTCTCTCCCCATCTCTCCTCCTCTCACCTCCTCCTCATCCTCCTCCTCCTCGTCCTCCTCCTCCTATTGCTCCTCCTCCTCCTCCTCCTCTTTCTCCTCCTTTTCCTCCTCGTCCTCCTCCTCCCCGTCCCCCTTTCAAACTGCCTTTCTGGCTTGAGGCATTCGGCCCACAAGGGGATTCGGCGTTTGGTTGTTTTTGTTATCCGGTCGCTCCCCCTCAGCACCACAGCCAGACAGCGCCTCACCTCCACGTAGTGCTTGAGGGACCCCCGCCTCGCGATCACTCTGGCCGTGCAGTCAGGGCGACGAAGAAGGCACAATAGGTAAGAGGAAGAATCCCAAGCAATTGCCGTATCATTGCGAAGCATCTCCTCTTTGGACAAAGCGCATGAAGTGCGGCAAGTGTGGAATGGAACGGCATCCTACAGTCGATGGGGGTACAGGTGCAGATGTGGTGCACAGAGCGAGCTGGATCGTCCTGGCCCGAAGCAGGGACAAGAGGGCCGATGCGCACGAGCGGAGCAGCACCTGCATCCAGCGCTCCGCCGTCGACGCTGGCAACTTAACAGCAGGCGCTGGCGACCCCGCGATCCGCCAAGATCCTCGAGACCCAGGTGAGCAAGTGCCCGCAGGCCGACCCCGCGGATGCCAACGCGATCCTTGAGGCTTCGCGGCAGGAGGCCACGGTTGCGGCAAGTGATGCTACTGCCAAGCATGATCGAGCCACTGCGGCCCTTCTCAAGGCCGAGCAGGCCTACGAGAGAGTCTGGAAGCGCGAGGAGGCAACCATCACCCTCGCCATGGCGGAGCAGACTAGGCGGTCCGCTCCCCGCGTGCTGGCCACCCAGGGCAGGTCGTCGCAGGAGCCATCTTCGACTACCCAGAGGAAGCTTGACGATCTTGTTTTGTCAAGGTTTCGTGGGGCGAGGCGCTCTTCGACTCGATCGAACCCCATCTAGAATCTAGCGAGGGCCGCAGGAACGCGACATCCTCGCCAAGCTACAGGCGGACCTCGAGGCGGCGAGGGGTCACCCCAGCTCCGAGCTCGACGAGGGGAAGGAAGAACTGGCCCGTCGAGCTCAAGCGCGCCCAGGAAGCCATCCAGACGCGCCTCTCCCAGAAGCGCATGGGCGACGGCCAGGCGACCCCCAGCGGCGGCGGCGGAGAGGGCGGCGCGCCATCTCCCGCCGCTGCCGGCAGCGCCGCCCCCGCAGGCAGCGCGGGCGTCAGTCGCGGAACTTCGCTGCCAGCAGCGGGCGCGGCGCGGGATGGCGCCGCGGAGGCGGCCGATATCGAGCAGGGCGCCAAGCGCATCTCCGACGATGAGAAGGCAGCAGCAGCAGCCGCGGCAGCCGCGCGTGGCGGCAAAAGCGCAGGCCAGGGCGCCAGCAGCGGTATGTGACGTTCGACCGCGATGGCCCGCGCTCGGCAGCATCTCGGGGCCACGCCGAGGCGATCACCCTCGCCGCAGACTGAGACGGCGACGGCGACGGCTACTTCCCATGAGACACGCGTCTGTTTTCAGCCATTATCGCTACCAGAAAGCCAAGCGCTTTTTGTGGTTGGCTGGTCCTCGTTCTCAGTCGTCTCAATGCTTTGCCATCTTCGAAACGCGCGTTGACACTCGCGAGTCTTTAGTCCCCTAGCTGGGCACAACCAACAGAGCACGACTTCAACTTTTGTTCCAACCCGGTCCGAGGCACAGGCAAAGCCGCTACTGTGAGCTGGCGGACCGCATCGATTATGTTGTTGTTCGTGTTTCGTTTGTGCCTTGCGTCATCCAGGTTGTTGGTGCTCTTGATGTCCCGTGGCGCCTCGTTGTGGCTTGCTCGTTCGGCTGCGATCGCCTGCCCACTGGCTGCTCTGCCGTAAGCTTCGCACTGCAGAGAAGCTGCCCCAGGTCCCATGACCCGAGGCTCTTCCGCATGTAGAAATCTGGCATGGGCATGGCTGCCACTGGCGACGGGCGGCTCTAGGCGCAGAGTTTTGCCGAGGAGCAGTGCGATGAGCTTTGTGGTGACTTGCTAGAGCGGCCTCGCAGTGGCCAGGCATCGGCCGCTCGTCAGTCTGCCACCCAGCGGAGCAGCACATGGTGACGACGACGTAGAGAGCTTTGGTGATCCCCTCGCGTTGCCCCCCCTCCTCGGCCCTCCCCCCCAGGCCATGGGTCCGTCTAGCCGGCGCGCTCAGCCTTCTGCTGTCGCACCTGTCGCCGCGGCAAAAGATGACGACTCAGCCCCCCCCCCCCCCCGTGGGGGGTGCGGATAGCGAGCTTGAGGGCCCTCCCATGGGCCTCCAGGAGCCCCGAGGGCCCTCGAGGCCCTCTCGCCCCGTCGTCCGCTTCTGTCTCGCTCGGGGCCCTGGCCCCCGTGACGCTGACCGTTGCGCCCCCCCCCGGGGCGTCAGATCCCCCCTGTCTCGATCTCCCCGCCCCCCCGCCTGGCTTCCGCGCCCCGCGAGAGACCTGGGCGACGGCCAAGTTCGAGGTCGGGCACGCCCCAGTAGTTCGAGGGCACGATGAAGCGCGGCCTGTCGTTCGGGACTCTGTGGCGCTCGCCGTCGGAAGAGCGCGCGGAACGAGCGGCGGGCTTCGGTCCTGGAACGCACTAGATCATCGCGCCACGGCGCAGACTTGTCCGGGCGATCCAGGGGCTGGGGACCTCACTTTCTTCTTTGGTCGCGGCCACGAGACAAGGGTCAGGCGGCGAAGGCAACGCCCGGGCCACGGGCGAGGCTAATTGGCTAGGACAGGCGCGCCGGCCGGCCCCCTCAAGGGACCTCGCTTACACGAAATTGCCAGAATGTTCTGGGTAAAATCCGCCAGACACCCTCCGAGGCATCGCTGCGCGCCGGCGGGGTCGCGCGCGCGCCGTTCTCTGCCGCGCGCGCCATCGTCGGACCAAGCCCAGAAAGGGGGGCCCCAGCGACGGAGACTCGAGGCAGCCCGCGCGGCTTCTGCCCAAACTCTCCCCGCCGGCGCGCGTTGGCCTCTCGCCGGCCTGGGCCCGCCAGATGGGGCGCGGTCTCTTCTGCAGGCCTATCTCACGTGCCTCGACAAGGCGTCGACGGAGAAGACCTTGTTTCAATGGCTAAGCGCGTTGCAGGCCGCGCCAGGCGTTGGGAGCTTTAATCTTCCCTGGAGGAGCTTAGATCCTGAACTGTCACCGCCCCCGCTGTGGGCGTCCTGTATAAATCTCCGCGCAACCCCCCCGCCCCCCGCCCCCTTGAGCTTTCTTGGCGGAGGGGGGGGGGTGTTTTTCACCCTGCGGATGCCCTGGGCCGATGCCCTGTCTACAAGCCACGGGATGGCATGAGCTTTGGAGCCCTTCTGAAGTCAATCCTTGCGAAGTCTGCGCGCTTTTTGCTGGGGCCCAGGCCGCGCGCGAGGACGGGCGGCTCTCGGATCTCGCGCCAGCTCGAATCCTCAGAGCAGCCAGGCCAATGACGGCTCGAGCTGGCAAGGGCACTGGTCGGACGTCGCGCGCGGGCATCCAGCGGCCCCCCGGCGCCGGGATTTAGCAGCTCGCGCCCTTGTGCAATGCGCGCGAATCGCAGATGACGCGGCCGCGGCGAGCACTGCTAGTCCCAGGCCGGCTTCTGGCGAAAATGTCCCGGGGCGACAGGGCGATCGGGCTACTCGCCACGCTGGCCAGAGCGTGGTCGCAAGCTCGCGAAGAAGGCGTTCGCTTCCGGGCCTCGTCGGCAGAGCCAGACTGGGGCGCGGCCGCCCAGCGCAACAGAGCACCCCGCGAAGCCTCTCTCTTCGAATGCTTCCTGGCGAAGCAGAGCTGAACTCGACATCGAGAACGGGCGCGGGCTCGACGATGTCGAAGCGTCCTGTGACTCGATGCCCCAGGTGGTCCTGGTCCGCACAGCGTTGCGGTGAAGCGCCCCGCCCGCGACTTTGGCTTTGGAGGTTCAGAAGTGCGCGTGCCCGAAGACCCCTGCCCATGGCGGCTGCTGTTCTGCAGCCTCTCAGACGGCGCAGAGTATGGCGCGAGGCCTCCGAAGGGGGCGCCCGCTTCACTCGATGCACGGCTTCTTGTTATTCTGTCTCGCCTTGCTGCCGCACATGTCGAGATGTCTCATGAGAATCTGGATCGATGGCTCATCGCGAAAAATCCGCAGGTCTCGTCGCGCGATCAGGGCGAAGCTATCTCAAGTCCTGCTGGGCACATGCAATCATTTGAAGAGGGTCGGCCTCGCGACCTCTCCCACGTGCGCGCGGATCGGTTCGCGTCCTGCCGATGGGCGATATGTCTAGCACCAGCGTACGCGCGCTAGCATTTCAATATCTGCAGCTCGGCAAACCCCATGCATCGGCGTGGACCTTGGCAACGGGCAGCCCGCTCGCAAGCTCCGTTGCAAGAGAGCATCCAAGGCCCGGGGTATTAAGGGTAAGATCATTCAGTTCGCGCGCGCTTTCGAACCAGCATCTTGTGCAGGGGCGTCTTGAGCGAGCGGGGCCCCAAGCTGCAAGCTCTTATCGGCATCGAGTTTACGCAACTGTCGGAGCTTTTCGGCCGTGGTTTTGGCTATGGGCTTCGCTTGGAGCTAGGGCCAAAAGCAGATGCCTCACCGCTGTCCGCGACCTCGAGGCCCCTGGCCAGGATTCTGGAGCGAAGTTCCCGCGTGAGGCTCTTCGGCCATGGCTCTCCTGCTGATTCAGCATCGCAGATCTGGGACCCGTGAATCGACGCATTTGGCCTCGTACAGTTGCGCAACTTATCGGTGTTAAACATACATCAGATTTCTCGTCACGCTGGAGGGCCCACCGCAGCATTCAGTGGGTATCGTTTGGAGGTTGGCTGGGCACCTAGAGCGCCGATGGATATGTGTTCCGCATCGAGTGCGATGTTCAATCTGCCTTTTTTTCAAGATAGGTGTTGGTATCCGGCCTCGTCTCACTATGGCTAGTGCGTGTCCATCTAGGGTTTCCGCACATGTAGTTAGCCGACGTTCTGGTCAATCCTTCCACAGGAGGGCTTTGGTCTAGGCAACGAGTTGTTGACGGCACCAAAGTTCCGACCAGCACTGATTTCTCATTCTGGAGCTGCGACCGCAGTTCACAAGATGCGGGCCTGCTCTTGCAACGAAGGCGCGAAGGCCTACGCTGGTTCTGACTACCTTGTGCCGCGAGTTTTGGTAGGGCACGCGATGGAACCCTGCTAGCGGCTCCGCGGGTCCATCTCGAAGAGCTGGACAGCCACCCAGTGCCCAGGCGACCACCCTGCTTGAAAGTTTGTTTCGCAAGTTGGCGATCAGCAGCAGTTGCATGTTTCTTTTTGTTCTGGGACTGGTGCTCTGGAGAGCCCCGTGGTCGTTTTTGGGGACGCTCGCGAGGGCCCTGCTGCACGTGAACCTCGTTCCAGTCGTGCCGGGGTCGCTGGGAGTACCACGGTTTCCGCCAGTCCACCTACGGCTGGCGCTGCTGTTTCGGGGCCCCTCCCTGGACGTAGGCAGACCATCCCTGGGGGCGAATTGTGTGGGTTCCCCATGGCGATTTCTTCTTATACGGATTTCAGAATCTGTGTCACTGACAACTCTAGAGTCTCCGACGGTTGGTCTGCTGGGAAGTATCTCGATCCGTCGGGGGGCAACATTGGAATCTGGGGGTTGATTCAGGTGCAACTTCGGGGTTCGCGACGTGATGCGTCACATGCTCTCGTTATCCAAGTTGCTTCTCACCAGCCGGCCGAGGAGGTCCACAGAAGGAGAGTACGTGAGTTTCTTGTCATCGGTAACACTGTTGCCGACGAGCTTGCAGGTCACGCCGCTCAGACAGCGCGGCTGGAGGAAGGAGTTCGGAACAGGATCTGGCAGGTGGGAAAGGACGCGCTCTTCCTTCGGAAGTTTCTCCTCCGAGCCAGCCTCGGCCAGTCGTCGTGGAGTTCGTCACAGGCGGGGCCCCCTCCTCATCCCCTTCCTCCTCGCCTCCATGAGCGTGCTGCCACGATTGTTGAGACCGCTCGCGTTTTCGATGAGAGCGGCGCGAAGTGTCTCAGATGTAGGGGTTCTGCCACCGAGGCCCACGCTCGTCGAGTGGCGTCGGTCTCCCTGTTTCGAGCCCACCCTCAGGGATGCACCCGTGTCACACTTGTCTGTCAGGCAGCGCTTACATACAGGTGGGGGGCAGGGCTCATGACAGAAATAGCATGGCATGCCATTGCACTCTCGGTACATGGTTCTGCTGTAGTTGCAGGTGCTATAATAATGAAACGCTCCCTTCTGTTATCCATGGCCCTTGTAATTCATCCTTCCCAGGATTCCGCCACGAGGCAAGAATCTGGCCAAAGGCCCTCACTCGCACCCAGCAGGCAGCTCGGACGTCGAGATAATTCAGCTAGATCACAATGTGATGACACATTAATATTGGCTTTCTTCTCTTGCAACTCCTTCTCCTCCTCCCCCTCCTCCTCCTCCTCCTCCTCCTCCTCCTCCTCCTCTCTCTTTATCCTCCTCCTCCTCCTCCTCCTCCTGCTCCTGCTCCTCTACCTCCTCCTCCTCCTCCTTCTCTTCCTCGCCCTCCTCCACCTCATCGTTTCCCTCCTCATCTTCCTCCTCCTCCTCCTCGTCCTCCTCCTCCTCCTGCTCCTCCTGCTCGTCTTCCTCCTTCTGCTCCGCCTCCTCCTCCTCCTCCTCCTCCTCGTGCTCCTCCTCCTCCTCGTGCTCAGCCTCCTCCTCCGCCTCCTCTTCCTCCTCCCCCTCCTCGCCGCCTGAGCGGCCACCCCGCGCGCCAGGCGCTGGATCGCCTCGGCCCAAGATCTCCGACGATCTGTTTTTTTCTGTCCTGGCTACTTTTTCCTGGACGTCGGCCCTCAGGGGGCAGTTTTTTTCGGACCCCGTGGCCATCCACGACGGAGCCGAGACGAAAAACTATTCCTCGGGAAAGCGGACGGAAAAAATCACATCGCTGGGTCGCTGGGTCGCCTCCGCCGCGCACGCCCTGGCCTCCTCTGCTGCTCTGGCCTCCTCTCGGAGCCTCCGGACTTCCACTCGAGCAGCAGCCCCGCGCACGAAGCGCTGGACTGCCTCGGCCGCGCGAGCCCTGCGCCGCAGCTGCGCCTCCAGCGCCAGCCTGTCTTCCCGCAGGCCCTGGCAGATGGCCCGTGCGGCGCGGCCCCGAAGTCCGCTCTGGATCCGGACTGCTGCGCGCTCCCTGCGCTCCTCCAGCGCGGCACGCTCGGCACTGATTCGGGCCTCCTCTGCTGCTCTGGCTTCCTGTCGGAGCCTCTGGACTTCCACTCGAGCAGCAGCCCCGCGCACGAAGCGCTGGACTGCCTCGGCCGCGCGAGTCCTGCGCCGCAGCTGTGCCTCCAGCGCCAGCCTGTCTTCCCGCAGGCCCTTGCAAATGGCCCGTGCGGCGCGGCCTCGCAGTCCGCTCTGGATCCGGACTGCTGCGCGCTCCCTGCGCTCCTCCAGCGCGGCACGCTCGGCACTGATTCGGGCCTCCTCTGCTGCTCTGGCCTCCTCTCGGAGCCTCCGGACTTCCACTCGAGCAGCAGCCCCGCGCACGAAGCGCTGGACTGCCTCGGCCGCGCGAGCCCTGCGCCGCAGCTGCGCCTCCAGCGCCAGCCTGTCTTCCCGCAGGCCCTGGCAGATGGCCCGTGCCGCACGGCCTCGCAGTCCGCCCTGGATCCGCACTGCTGCGCGCTCCCTGCGCTCCTCCAGCGCGGCACGCTCGGCTCGAATCCGGGCCTCCTCTGCTGCTCTGGCCTCCTCTCGCAGTCGTTGGGCCTCTGCCCGAGCGGCGCCCCCCCGTGCGAGCCGCTGGATCGCCTCGGCCGCGGACGCCCGGCGCCGCCCCAGCAGCTCCGCTCGCCGCCGCCCTCGCGCTGCGGCGCAGACGGCCCGGGCCGCGCGGCCACGCACCACGCTCTGGATCTGGACGGCCGCACGCCACCGGCGCTCCTGGAGCTTCCGCGCCGCCAGCGCGACCCTGGCGCGGGCCTCTGCTGCTGCCGCTGCCTCCTCTCGGAGCCTTCGGGCCTCTGCCCGGGCGATGCGGCCCCTCGCCAGGCGCTGGATTGCCTCGGCCGCGCACGCCCTGCGCCGGCGATCCTCCATGGCAGCCCGCTCAGCCCTGGTGGTGGACGCCTCCTCCGCTGCTCTGGCCTCCTGTCGGAGCCTCCGGACTGCCCCTCGAGCAGCCATGCCTCGTGCAAGGCCCTGGATCGCCTCGGCCGCGCGCTTCCTGCGCTCCAGCTGCGCCTCCAGCGCCAGCCTGTCCTCGCGCAGGCCCTGGCAGATGGCCCGTGCGGCGCGACCCCGAAGTCCGCTCTGGATCCGGACTGCCGCGCCCTGCCTGCGCCCCGCCAGCGCGGAGCGCTCGGCTCTGCTGCGGGCCTCCGCTGCCGCTCCGGCCTCCTCTCGCGGCCCGCGGGCCTCCTCCGTGGCCGCGCGCCCGCGTGCCAGGCGCTGCATCGCCTCGGCCGCGCTCGAGCTGCGCCGGCGTTGCTCCCGCGCGGCCTCGCAGGTGTCCTGAGCAGCGCGGCCACGAGCCAGACCTCGGCTCTGGACGGCTGCGCGCTGCCTGCGCTCCTCCGCCACGAGAAGCTCGGCTCTGGCGCGGGCCTCCTCTGACCCCCGTGCCTCCTCCTGCAGTTTTCGGATCTCTGCCTGGGCCGCGCCCCCACGTGCCAGCAGGCTCTCCAGGCGCTGGATCGCAGCGGCCGCGTGCGTGAGGTCCAGCTGCTCTCCCTGCTCTCCGACGACGACGACGTCGACGGCGTCGGCGTCGGCCTCGGCGTCGGCGTCGGCGTCGGCGTCGGCGTCGTCGGCGTCGGCGTCGGCGTCGGCGTCGGCGTCGGCGTCGGCGGCGGCCGCGGCGGCGGCGGCGGCGGCGGCGGCGCGGGCGGCGGCGGCGACGGCGTCGTCGTCGTCGTCGTCGTCGTCGTCGTCGTCGTCGTCGTCGTCGTCGTCGTCGTCGTCGTCGTCATCGTCGTCGTCGTCGTCGTCGTCGTCGTCGGTCGTCGTCGTCGTCGTCGTCGTCGTCGTCGTCGTCGTCGTCGTCGTCGTCGTCGTCGTCGTCGTCGTCGTCGTCGTCGTCGTCTCGCGCTGCCTCGCAGATGCCTCCGGTCGCATGGCCACGGTCACTGCCCTGGGCCTGGACGGGCGCGCGCTGCCCAAGCTCCTGGGGCAACGACAACAGGCATCAAGACCGCTCTGCTCCTCGGATCTCTCCCGGAGCGCGCTCTGACCAGGACTCGGGGCGAACCCAGCTGTGGCGACGAGGAGTGGGTTGGAGGGGGATGAAGCGGGGACCATGACCAAGACCGAGCGTGGAAACGTCGCGTCGATCTTGGTCACGTGGATCTTGGTCAGCGTCAATTCGTGGAGCGTCCTCGCGAACACAGCTGTGGAGACAAGGATGAGGCGGCAAGACGGGATGCCGTGGACACCCTGACGAGGCATGGAAGGGCACGGCCAAAAAGAGGAGGAGAAGGCTGGGGAGGAGGAGGAGGAGGAGGAGGAGGAGAAGAGGAGGAGGCGGCACCAGAGGAGACGAGGAGGACACAGGCGTAGCAGAAGCTCCTCCAACAAGGCTAACAAAAGGGAGTCCAGAGTGCGGCCCCCGCGAAGGGCCGTCGGTAGCGTTCTTGGTATCGTTTCCTCCTCTCGCTTCAATGGCTTTGGCGTCATAACTCAGCTCTCTGGTGGCCGTTCGGGACGATCCGCTCTCGGCGAGGCGCAGCCGCTGGAACGTACCCCGAGGCAAGACAACAACTGAGAACCAGCGAAAACACGAACGATTAAAACCTCCAACCGGAATTTCGAACCTCAGCGCGCCGCCGAGTGAAATTCTCGATCCGCTTCTTCCCAGGACGCTACCCCCACGCTGCTCGCCAACTCCTGGTGCGGGCTTCCTCCCGGACTGGTCAGCATCGCATCGGGAAATCGTACCGATTCGGAGTGTGCGCCGGATCGGGCTGCATCGGCACGGAGTCGAAATCGAATGGGGTAGGCTGCACCAGGATGCACAACGACGCCACGCAAACGCCGGGCCGCATCGGATCGCCGGGAGCTCGAAATCGAATTGGACCGGAGTGGCCAAAACCTATGCCGAATGCTCTGTCCTATGCTGCTCGTCCCTCTGGAACCCTAGGCCTAATCTTTCCGCGCCATTTTTCGAGCCAGATCGATGTGTGATGGTCCCGGGGCCCGAAACCCAGCGAAAGCGCCCGGTGTGAAATTATCTGGGCGGAGGAGCCGATCACATGCCTGTGTGACTACCGCAGACTTCGATTCCCCATCGAAAACCGAAGGAACAACCTAAGGTAGACTGTGCAACAACTGAGGAACACGGAGCCCCTCCCAAACGAAAAGGGTTCCTTATTCTTACCAGCCTGGAACGTATCCCTATCCCTATGCTGGGCACCTCCTCATCACGATGCCAGTCTCAGGGACTCCCTTATTTTTTGAGGGCGACTCCCTAAGATTGTCATCGCCGTTTGGCGTGTCAATGTTAGAGATAGGGGTACGTTCGAGGCTGGTAGTATTGGGCGCCCCGACGGCACGTCGCCGATAGATCGGCGACGGCCCCCCCTGGCGAGACAGCACGGCCTTGGGCGGGGTGGGCCGTCGGGCCCCCCTCGGCGAGGACCTGGGCGCTCTGGGGCCCATGCGCTTCCCCCGGAGCCTGCTCGCCCTTCGGCCCTCGGGTCCGAACTCCCCTTGCTGGCGGCGGTTCGGGACGATCTGGGATCCCCCAACCCCCTCGCGCTGTGAAAAAATCACGACGGGAGATTTTTCGCTATTTTCGGCCTCCAGGGGCCCTTACGAGGCCTCGGGACCGTCAAAAAACGACTCAGAACGAAAAACCGGTCCCAGGGAAGGGGTCCAGACCTCTGGGGGTCGCATCATGAAAAAATCATGACGTCGGGAGTCTGGGTCTCCAGAACGCCGTCGGCGAGGCGAAGCTGCTGGGTGGGCAAGCAGCCCGAGGCTGGGAAAGCCTCCGAGCACCCGCGAGGCGCCCGCAGGCCTGGAGCCCCACCCGAAGACCTGGAGCCCACCGAGGCACCCCAGGGCGAGCGAGCACCCGCGAGGCGCCCGAAGGTCTGGAGCCCTACCCGACGCCGCCCCCGCCGCTGCCCTCGGGGCCTCCTCTGCTGCTCGCGCCTCCTGCCGCAGCCTCCGGAGCTCGGCGACGCCGCGGGACAGGCACCGGATCGCCTCCTCCGCGCCCGCGGCTGCCTCGGCCGGGGGAGCTCGCGGCCGCAGGAGCGGCGCCTCCCGTCGGGCCGCGCCGCCGCGGGCGAAGCTCTGCAGCCTCAGCGCCGCGGCAGGCTCCGGAGGCGCCTCCTGTCAGGGCCACCCCGAACTCGGCGGTGGACAGACCTCGCTTCAGTAAACCTCCCCTCGGCGAAAACGGCCTGGGACCGAAACCGACGGACCTGAATATCCGCAAGAATGACGGCCGCGACGCCCTCTCGCGAACCGAGAACGGCCGATTCCTTAATCGACGTGTCAGGGTAGGCGGTCTATCCACCTCCGACAACCCCAAACCAGGACACGGCAAGCCAAGACTGCGAATCTTCCCCCCGGAGAGGCCGACGAATGGGCCATGCTTCGACCCCTCGGCTGCAGCCTTCTCGGGCGCGCCGGCGTCCTGGCATATAAGAAGTCCCCGAGGAGGGTTAAGTCGGGCCTGTCCCCCCACAGGGGGATTTGGGCGAAAAATTAGAAATACCCTAAAGATATTCCCAAAACATGGTAAACAAATAAAAAGAAGAAGTCCCCGAGTAGGGTTAGGTCGGGCCTATCCCCCTACAGGGGGATTTGGGCGAAAACATAGAAAGACCCTGCAAATATTCCAGAAACATTCTCAACAAATAATTAGAACATCGTCCCCAGACTATTTTGTGACTCTTTTTGAGTGTTCCTCCTGTAGAGGGACAGGCTCGACTGAAGTGTAGGGTGCCCAGATCCTGAAGCTCCATCCGCGTCTCGGAAAGCTCCGCGTAACCGGCTTGCCTGTCGGCCAAGCGCAGAAGCCTCGCGGCCACAGCAACCTGGGGCAGGTCACATACACGTCGATCAGTTCGAATCGTGCTCATTTCTAATAGTGCTCGTTTCTAATTGTTCCTGGCCCCCTTGTGGCCAGGAAGGCCCAGGACAGAACAATTAGAAATGAAAGGATCTTGGCCCCCCCAAAATCAAAGAACTCTCGAATCACTAGACATGAACAGTGTGTGCACAATGAACTGCAACCTTGCGAGGGGGTCGCCATTTCTCGTGGGTTCCCCGGGACCCCATATCCCCACACCCTGACATCCGCCCAAATGATGCTGTCCAGTCCGCGGCCCCAGAGAGCTCCCGACCGCTTCCCCGGGAGCAGTCTCCCGTGCCAGATCCGCTGCTGCTGCTCCCCGGGGCCCGAGAAGTGCCCCCGAGAGCCGACATCGACGAAACACCGCCGGCACAACAAAACACACCGTCCGAGATCGGGGTACACCATGCGAAATGCTTTAGAAATCATGGGTTAAGAAATTCATAGTCTCAGAACTTGAGTAAAACCCAGAACTTCAATCAAAATCTTGGGATTTACATTGAAAAATTAAGAATAATCGAGACTCTGGCCGAAAACTTGGGTTTTCTTAAGCATCGCCTAAGGTGTAATGTTAAGTCGGGCGTGTCCCCCTACAGGGGGATTTTCGACGAAAGATAAACAAAAAACAAACATACCGCACAAAGGCCAACAAATACGCCAAAAGTAGTCCCCGGACTATTGATTTTTGCTTATTTTTGGGCCATTTTTCCTTCCTCGTCGAAAATCCCCCTATATAGGGGGACGCGCCCGACTCCAACCGACATCGACGAAACACCGCCGGCACCACAAAACACACCGTCCGAGATCGGGGATCAGCGTGTCTCTGCCCCCCGGCGGCCTGCCCCTCCGCCAGCTCCTGCAGCTCGCCGGCACGGCGCTGCGCCGCTCGCTCGTGGATGCCGGCTGCGCGCAGGGAGCGACCCTCCGTGCGCTGCGACGCCCCCACGTGTCGGTTGACGCGCTCGTGGCCAGAGCGCGAGAGGGGGCGGAATCACGGCGTCGGGGGGGCCGAGGGCAGGAGAGCCCGGAAGGCAAATGGACGAGTCGGAGCGGAGGCCGACGCGAGTCGGCTCGACGGCACGGTGATGCGCCGCTCGCTCGCGGGTGCAGGCTGCGCGCAGGGAGCGACCCTCCAGGCGCAGACTGGGTTTAAGTCGGGCCTGTCCCCCTAGAGGGGGATTTTCGACGAAAAATGAAACATACTCTCAAAATGCACCAAAAAGGCAAACAAAAATTCAAAAAATAGTCCCCAGGCTATTTTTGGACTATTTTTGGAATATTTTTAAGGTATTTTCTATCTTTCGTCGAAAATCCCCGTGTAGGGGGACAGGCCCGACTAAAGACTGGGTGGCCCACCGGTCGCTGCACGCCATGCGACGGTAGCAGCCTGCGTGCTGGGGCATGCCCCCCCCCCCGCCCAGAATGGAAGTACTGCTGATCCGAACACCGTCGGTGAGCCGTGGAATGGATGATCGAATATTGACTGCACTTGCACATGAGAAAACCCCAATCAGTGGATGACTTGAAAATTACTCATATGGATCTTGAGATCGGTTGTGAGATCGATAGTATCATCGATAGAGGACGATTGTAAGGTCGATCGTGAGACCGAGAGTGAATTCGATTCAATGAACCCGGAACCGGAACCCGGGAACCCGGAACCGGGAACCCGGGAACCCAGCGTGCGACCAAAATCGGCGGGAAACTTTCGCCAAATCCTTCGACCTCCGCTAGGACCTCTTCAGTGCAATCACTGTTTGGGGAATATCTGTGTCGATTTGTGTTGCGTGTGGCGGGTGCTCCATCGGTATCATTGAACACACTTTGGGCCCCCGCCCCAAGCCCGTGCCCGAGCCTCAAAGCCCAGGCCGCCGGCCCCAGGGCCCAGGCCCCGAAGCCCCGGTCCGAGGGCCCAAACCCGAGCGCCCCGGCCCCGGGGCCTAAACCCCCGCGCCCAGGCCCCAGCCCCCCTGAACATCGTTGAGCCGATCCCTATCCCTCGATCTGCATCTTCCGTACCTTCCGCGCGGCAGGCGCCTCGCTGCCGCGGCCGCCGCCGCGGCCGCATCGCGGCGGCACCTTCCGCGCGGAAGGCGCAGGTCGAGGGATCCCCACTGGCCGAGTTGCCCCCTAGATCGAGACGTGGGCGGTTCCATTGGGGGTTCGAAGGGCCTGACCCCGCGAAGCCCCATGGAAGGAGGGAGGAAAAGGGAGAAGGAGGAGGAAAAGGGCGACGACGATGACGACGTCGCAGTGAGGAGGACGGGGAAGGAGGGAGGGAGGGAGGAGGCGGAGGAAGAGGGAGGGGGGGGGAGGAGGGGGGGAGGAGGGAGGAGAAGGAGGGAGATACGGAGGACTGGTGCGAGGTGGGGCTTCCCGGTGGGGCCGAGATGCCCTGGCCCGGCGGGCAGCCGGGGCTCACCGGGCCGCCCGCGCCCCCCGAAAGCCGCGGGAGCCTCCCTGATTCCTCGACGTCGTGAGATGTTTCAAGACGTCGACCCCTCCTCCTCCTCCTCCTCCTCCTCCTCCTCCTCCTCCTCCTCCTCCTCCTCCCCTCCTCCTCCCCCTCCTCCTCCTCCTCTCCTCCTCCTCCTCCTCCTCCTCCTCCTCCTCCTCCTCCCTCTCCTCCTCCTCCTCCTCCTCCTCCTCCTCCTCCTCCTCCTCCTCCTCCTCCTCCTCCTCCTCCTCCTCCTCCTCCCCCTCCTCCTCCTCCTGGGTGGGGGGGGGGCGCTGCGGGGCCCACCGAAAGCCGGGCGGGGCGGGCGGCGGGGCCCCTGCGCGCGCGGAGCTCCTGCCGGGTCGCCGCCTCCCCAGATCGAAGAAAGGGACGTGTGCACTTTTCGGTCGGCGGCGCAGAGGAGCCTCAGGCGCGGTCGGCAGCCCCCGCCCTCCACCTTCCGCACCTTCCGCGCGGCAGGTGCCGCGCCGCGGCGGACGCCGCCGCCGCCGAAACCCCTGCTGCGGCCTCGGCGGCGGCCGCCGCGGCGTGGAACCTGCCGCGCGGAAGGTGCGGAAGGTGGAGGGTGAGGGAGGTGGAGGTGCCAAGTGCGAACGAACTCAGTCGAACGCGCCGCGATGAAAGATCCAGCCACGGCCATACATATTGGTGGTGGTGAAAAACTGAGGCGCCGTGAAGCTAACGTGCAACGGCCAGGTACCCCGAAAGGGAGCTGTGCACGTACACCGATTCTGGCCAGGCCCATCCTGAGCCCAGGATCGCGGTGCGTACGGCAGCTTCGTGTCGTGAAAATCCTGGCGTTGATTTCTGACACACCGTCGATCGTTCAACCTTGAAAGATCGGCGGCTCTCCGATCGCCCGACCCTTCCAAGCAGGCCGATTCTGGGCCACTGGCGGCGGTCAACCTTGAACGCCCGCAGCGGGGTCGCCGCCGGTCGACACGACGCGAACCTGCCGTGCGCCTTCGTGGCTTGGCTAGGGAAGCATATACCACGACCCTGGGTCCAGGATCGGTGTGTGTGTGTGTGTGTATCAGCATAGTTCTCCCCGCCCGCCCCAGTGGTCTCGACCCATTCCCCAGGACCACGTTCTCATGCTGAGCTGACTCTTGACGTTCTCGGGGCCCGGCACGAGCCCCGCCCCAGGGGCCGAACACGGCAGCGAGCCCTCCATCTCCACTCTCTCACGACGCGAGGGCGTCTGGGCAACGAGGCCCCTCCAACGAAGGGCGAAAGCCGGCGGCGCGCAGAGGGGTAGGGGGAAGGGGGGGTGGGGCTTCTCAGAAGGAGCCTGCCTCCCAGAAGGCGCGGCCCTCACCCCCTGAGAAGAAGCAGCGGTGCTTCTAAGAAGCCCCACCCCTGGCTAATTTTACCCCTGGCCCCCCCCCCCTCCCCAAACATCCGACGTCCTGATTCTTTTAATACGCGGTCCCCGGAAGTCTCGACCCATTCCCGAGCACCGGATTTTCATCCTGAGTCGTTTTTTGACGGTCCCGAGGCCCGGTAAGGGCCCCTAGGGGCCGAAATGTACGAAAACCCTCCGTCGTATGTGTTTTTTCCAATTCGCTGGATCCCTGGGTCTGCGCGCGGCCGAGGAAGGGCGACCCCTGCGCGCAGCCGCCGCTGGCCGCCGCCACGGCCCCGGGCACGCTGGGCTGCCCGCGCGCCAGGGAGTCGCGGGCGGCCGCCCCGGGCGCGGCGGTGGCAGCGCCGGCCCCACGGTGGCCTCCAGCGTCCTCCAGGCGGCGGGGGAGGAGGGAGAGGAGGAGGTGACGCATGAGCAGGAGGAGGAGCAGGAGGAACACCCAGAGATCCAGCGCATTGAAAAAAACACGACGGAGGTTTTTCGAACATTTCAGCCCCTAGGGGCCCTTACCGGGCCTCGGGGCCGTCAAAAAACGACTCAAGATGAAAATCCGGTGCTGGGGAATGGGTCGAGACTTCTGGAGACCCCGTATGGAACAAATCACGACGTCGGATCTCTGGGCAGGAGGAGCGTGGAAAGGGGGGGACGAGGACGAGCAGTAGCGGCATGAGCTGGAATGGAAGGAGCGGGAGGGACAGGAGGACCAGGAGAAGGCTGAGGAGGGAAACTGAAGGGGGCGACAACAATGAAAAGAACATCGGATCCACAAAAGTGGCCTGCGCTGATGCGAGAGCGCCAATGTGAACGACGGGAGCAAAGCGTCGATCCAAACATGAGGCCCACGCAACAGATGGAGGACCATTTTGAAACAGCGAAACCAATCGGATTGCAAGAGCCCGACGAGCCCCAAGTCCTGGATTTTCCCCGAGCAGTGCTCGCACCTGAGCGACGAGGAGGAAGCGGGTCTTACGCACGATGACACCTAGCGACCTGGCCCGGCGGCGCACGCGGGCCGCCGACGCGGCACACCACCTTGGAGACGAGGGCGCTTGCGCACGACCTCCTCAGCGGGCAGCTTGCGCGCCAAGGTCGGCGCAAACGACCCCGTTTCCTTGTGCCGCTCACTTGGGGGCTCCGGTTGAGCAGGGACCGACCGTCCCAGCATTCCTACAGTCCTACCAACAAACTTTCTTAGAACCCAAACATGCTCAAAAAACAAAAACGGTGTTCTTAGAACATAAACCCGGCGTGTTCAAACATTAACCAGACAGGTTCTAAGAACATGCCGTGGAAACCACAAGAGGTTCTTAGAGCATTGCTTGGTACACCCTGCGAAATGCTTTAGAAATCATGGGTTAAGAAATTCATAGTCTCAGAATTTTAATAAAAACCCTACATTTCCATTAAAATCTTAGGATTTACATCGAAACATTAAGAATAATCGAGACTCTGGCCGAAAACTTGGGTTTTCTTAAGCATCGCATGAGGTGTAGGGCTATAGGCGAGCCAGGGCGCTTCGCCACTGCTTGGTCTGACCTCTCTGATGACGAGCTGGGCCTGTGCGCCGCTCTGGCCGGCTCGTGGCCGCCCGTCGCCGCCGCCCGTGGCCGCACCGCGGCGGCCACGGCCTCGACTGCGCGGGGCTCGCAGGCGTGACCGCGCGGGGGGGGCGTCGGCTGCCATAGGTGCGGCTTCTGCTGAGGGCGCGGTTTGCCCAAACCTACCCCGCTTTTGACCACCCTCGCTTCCAAGAAGTACCACACGATACCAGACTACGGCCTGTACTGGTCAGGCCGCTTGACGAGGAGGCGCGTGGTGTGACTTGGTTTTGCCTGGAAGCGAAAGCGGGGTAGGTAATTCACGCTCTGAGTGCCTCCCGTCATATCTGCCCCTCCCGCCCCCGGGAAACGGACGACACTGTCACTGGCTCAAGGCCCCGGAAAAGCCGCCACAAAGCACATCGCAAACCGCAAACCCCGGCGTAACCGCACGGACTGTAGTCGCCGAGAGGGGCGTCTTGAGCTCGGATCCGCCGCGCTCCGGGGCACCTTCTGGTTCGAAGTTGTGTCGGAGCTGCGCCCACTACGGTGCGAAAGCGTAGGGCCGGGGAGTTGTTCTCGAGCGCAAGAGATACCCCTGACACAGACCAGGGCATGCCGCTGCAATCACACAACCAGCCGTTCGGCGTGTCGCTGCGCCCTGACGCGCGGATGCTGAATCAGCGCGCGCGGCAGACTGATCGGGCGCAGTGGCAAGCGCCCAATCCAGTGGGCGGCCCTTTTCACCCAGGCCGACCCTGGGTGAGGGTATGTTTCGGACCACTGCTTTGTGCTTCGGAAGACCCAGACCCCCGACGTCATGATTTTTTCATGGCGCGACCCCGAGAGGTCCCGACCCGTTCCCCAGGACCGGTTTTTCGTCCCGAGTCGCTTTTTGACGCTCCCGAGGCCCGGCGAGGGCCCCCGGAGGCCGAAAATGGCGAAAAACCTCCCGTCGTGATTTTTTCACGACGCGAGGAGGTCTGGGGAGTAGGGCGGACATTGACGCGCAGCTGCGGCCGAAGCGGCGCCGGCGCCGCGGCAGCCTCCGTCGCCACCGGGCCGCGGTCCGGCGCCGGCCGCCCCGGGCCCCCGCGCGTCATGGAATCATCGCCACGGGAATGTGCTCCATCTCTTCGGCCTCCCCAGACCCCCTCGAGTCATGAAAAAATCACGACGGGAAGTTTTTCGCCATTTTCGGCCTCTGGGGGGCCTTACCGGCCCTCGGGACCGTCGAAAAACGACTCAGGACGAAAAACCGGTCCCGGGGGATGGGTCCAGACCGCTGGGGGTCGACGTCATGAAAAATTCATGACGTCGGGGGTCTGGGTCTAGGGGGCCTCGAGACCGTCCGAGCACGGCTCGTCGGGACGAAAGGCCGGTCCATGGCAACGGGCCCAGACCGCTGGGGTCACACGCAACGAAGGAGTCACGACTTCGGCGAGAGCATGCTGGCACGCGCGACAGGGATGCCGAGGAGACACATCAAGGATGAGGCTGTGATGCTATGCTGCCTCTTTCGATTTTGAGCTGGCTATGATGCCCACTCGTGCCCACCCCAGCCCGTCCTCGGGGACCTCGCATCCCCCTATGATGGTGGGATGGGACGGCGAGCCACCACCCCTGGCACTGCACGTAGGGTGCACGTGCGGTGCCGGGGGGGAGGGCCTCCAGCGAGCCCCCTCCCCGTGGGCTCCCGGGGCCCTTCGCCGCGGGGTGCTGGCAGGGCCTGTATGCCCGCGAGAGGGGGCCCGCAGTGGTCCCTCCCGGCCCGCGCCCCCCCCCCCCGAGCCGCGCCAGGCTCCCACTCCGTGCACCTCCCGCTGTCGCGACGCCGTGTGGCAAACACGTGGGCAACCCTGGCAAGCTGGCACGGTGCACGGCACCTCCGCGCAGCCGCCTTCTGGTTGCTGCTTCCGACCGTCTTCCCTGGCCCTCCGACGCCCTGGAGGCACCGCGACGTCAGGAGCCCAAAGCTCCCGACCGCTCTGGAGGTCACGCGGCACCGCCAGGGGGGCATCTGAATCCATCACTTCTCGTGACCCGCCCCGAGCCTGTGGGGAACGGTGGACGTGGATGTCCTCCCGCCAGCAGAACTAGCCAGACGCCCTCATCCACCACTCCCCAGCACCCCCCAGGGGCCGCGACGCCCGCAGCTGCGGACCACATGAATGCACGAGGGTGTCACGGCGGTTCCCCAGAGGTCTGGCCCTCGTCTCCAGGAGCCCCAGGACCGTCTTATCTACGAAGACATGGGAGCCAATAGGATGTAAACCGAAGGTTCGAGTGGTGGATTAGACCACGAGTGCTGAGACTGTGGGGCGCCCCGCGCACAACACCGTAGCCCTGCACACGACGCGCCCATGGTGGTGGGCACAAAATACTCGTCGCTGCAGTCGTTACCGCAAGACGCCTGATGGCCTAGCGCTGCGCGGTGCTGCTTTCTTGGACGGCCCGGGGGCCTGGAGAGGCCCCTTCCCCCCGGCGGCCCCCAACGGCCAGCGACAGCCGCGCATCGCGAGCTGTGCCGCAAGGCGAGGAGGTCTGGGACACTGCCCCTTTGTGCTCTCTTCGCGGCGCGGCGCGGGGGCGCGGGCAAGGTCTGCCCCTCGGGGGCACCGCCGCCCACGCGGGGCGCGACTCTGGAGCTGCGGGAGGAGGAGGAGGAGGAGGAGGAGGAGGAGGAGGAGGAGGAGGAGGAGGAGGAGGAGGGGGAGGCGGAGGCGGAGGCGGAGGGGCGGGCCCCAGCTGCCCGGGACCCAGCAAGGCCGGCATCCCTTGGGAGGGCAGCGCCAAAAACTCCGCCCTCCTCCCGCTGGCGGAAGATTGCAAAGAAAACCGAAGGATTGCAAAAAAACCTTCGTTTTTTGCAATCCTTCGTTTTTTGCAAATCCTTTTTTGCAATCCTACGTTTGTGGCCTCGCTCCACCTCCGCCGCCGTGCGCCGAGGGCGAGAGGCCAACCCCCTGCGACCCTCGAGGGCGAGAGGCCCCTCGTGGAAGGCCCCCCTGCATGGAGGCGTGCTGTCGGCGGGGTGGAAGCCCAGACATGCGATGTCCTTCTCTCAGCGCCCCTCAAACGGGGACTCCACTAACGGGTACTTTGGCCAGTGACCCAGCGAACCCAACCCTTCCCGATGTGGGCAAAGCTGCAATGCAAGAAAAAGGCCCTAAAAAGGCAACTTTCGGCAAAATTTCAAAGTACCCGTTAGGAAGTACCCGTTACGGTGCCGTTGATTCTCCTTCCAATACGCGATCCCGGGAAGTCCCGACCCCTTCCCCAAGGCTGATTTCTCATACCGAGTCGGTCTCGGGGCCCGGCCCAGGCCCCCGGATGCCGAAAACTGAAAAAGCCTTCGTCCGGATTGTTTCAGGACGTTGTATGCCTGGGAGACTGCCGCGTGGTTGCGTGGTGACCGACCCCTGACCAACAGAAACATGCTTATACCCATGGAGGACACACACTGACAACCCTCTGTCGCTACATGTGGCTAATTATGATCCCCGTCTACATCATGGCTCCCAACTTCGCGCTTCGCGCTGCGCGAAGCGCGAATAACTTCGCGCTCTCGCGCCGCCCTCCCAAAGGGAGAATAGGAGGACGAGGAGGAGGGGGAGAAGGAACGAGGACCGCGAAGCGCGAAGCGCGAATAACTTCGCGCCCTCGAGGGAGCCCTTGACATCGCAGAGCGGGGGGAGGGGCTGGGAGCTGGGAGCGTGAATGCCCCTCCCTGACAACAGCCTTGCCCCGATTCGTGGCCGCCACGGTCGGCGCGGCGACCTCCCAAACCGACGCAGGGGTTCGGTTCGGGGTCGGGTGTCGCGCAACAGTCGTGCCCTCTTCGTGCCGTCCTGCTCTTGTCCAGGACACTGCATGTCTGGGAGGAGGTGCCGTTTCAGCGGGAATAGTGGGCCTGGCGCAGAGAGAGAACTCCGCCGGAAGAGGTGCAAGACTACAATTGCCATAGTTGGCGCCTGGATGCGACAGTCTGCGCGCATGATGCAGCGCTTGCGCCTGGATGCAGTGGTGTTAGGAGGCAACTACTGGGAGGATTTCGTTGGAAAGGGTACGAAAGATTAAGCCCCATTGGGGGGCTGTTACGCCTGAGTGGGCCTCGGATTAAGCCGGATCCAGCGGGATTAAGCCGAATCAAGCGGGATTAAGCGGGATGAAGCCTGATTTCGGACCAGGGCAAAATCAGAATTTGACCTCCCAGGCGTTGCATCCGAAGTGGTGCAGCTGCGTCACACGCACTAGTTCTCGCCCGCACGCTCGTCCACGCCCTCCCCCCCCCCGCAAGTTAGCTGCGCACGGTTGTTGCACGCAGCAGTACACGACCCATGGACGCCGGCCACTCCCGCCGCCGACCCACCTACGCCAGACCCCACTACTCCACCCTAGAACACACAAATAACTACACACAAAGACACACCTCCCAGGAGTTGCATCCGAACTCCAGCGTGGACTGCCTGGGGGAGCACGGCCTCTGCTGCCCCGGCCCCAGGCGTCCGCTCCAGACCCCCGACGCCTCGAATTTCTTTCGCCACGGCGACCCCAGACGTCGCGGCCCGTTCCCCAGTGCTGGCTTCTCCTCCGGAGCCGCCTTTTGACAGTCCCGAGGTCTGGCAAGGTCCCCAGAGGGCCCTGAGTAGCAAACAAAAAACGTCCGTCGCGATGTGCCAATGACTCGAGGTGTCTGTCTGGACGCCCGAAAGGAGGAGGAGGAGGAGGAGGAGGAGGAGGAGGAGGAGGAGGAGGAGGAGAATGCGTCAATCTGCACTCGCACGCTGTCGGCGGGCACTCTGAGAACACCAGGGCTGGCCAGGCTTGGGGTGTCGTGTGCTGCGCAGAGGAAGGGAGCGAGGGAGGCAAGGCCGCACGCCTGGAGCGGAGGAGAGTCCCACCGGCCCTCGGGGCGTCGGTGGTTTCACGAGTTCTCTTGTCTTGCTGCCGGCAACCCAAATATGTCCTGACTCGTTCAGGCCGTGCGAGTCGTTACAAAACCATGGTCGTGGAGCATCAGTCGAGGCATCATCATCTTCAAGCAAGCCAGGGCCTTTGAAGAATCCCTGGGCCTCGAAAATCCTCAACTGCCCCATGAAATTCGCGCTGGGCGGCGCCATCTGACGGCACCTTTGAATCTCACTCAAGACGAGGTCCACTCCACCTCGTCCGTTTCCACATGAGTCACAGTCTGATGATCAAGCCGTCTAGAACTGTTAAAGAGCGCGAGTAAGTAACCCACGCAGAGCGTTGTAGATCGGGATCTGCCTTGCGCACAGTGCACGAGGACACTGGAGTCGCTTCTCAGTGTCCGATGAATGCAGCGGATGGCTTCTTTGAAGGTGGAGCCTCCCTCCTGAAAAGACTCCGAACCATCAACCTCCATCAACTGCTGTGGCTCTGAGTCAACCCACGGGCATTCGAAGAGAGAAACTCCTAGCTTGTCTTGAGCGGCTCGCACGGCTGATGGTTTTCACATAGAAATAACCCAAGTCTCTCGCAGTGTTAATTAATGATTGTCTTCGCCCTGTCGCGCTCGAGGTAGGCCAGATTGAAGACGCAGCGGAAGCCGCCAAGCAAAAGTCTGCTCGCTGACGGTGGTAGCCCACTGCCTGATATTGAAATGATCGCTGGAGTGAGATCGCTGGCCTCTTCATCGCAAGAACATTCGATTTCCTCCAGGAGGTGTTGGTCGGATTTTACAGCGTACCGATGCCACCGCACCATCTTGCAGCGATTCGGCCAAAACACTGGGTTCGGATGGCTGCCCTCAAAAGTGAGCTGCGAGCCAGCTGTAACGCCGTGACCGCCACGGTCTGCCTCGACCATCCTCCGGCACAGCTCCGGCCGGCGAGCGTGCAGAGCCTCCACCGCGGGCGCTGTCGTGGCCACGTCCGCCAACTGAGGGTCGGCCAGGACGTCGGACCGATAGGCAGGAGAGCCCAGACTCGAATCGAGAAGTCGGGTCGGCGATCGAAATGAATCGGATCGGCGGAGATCGGCAGCCGAGTCGGGAAAAGTCGAATCGGCAGGAATCGGCAGGCTAATGTGCCTCCAATCAGAAATCGGAACCCCGATCGGAATCCCAGGTCGAATCGAATCGGAATCGGAAGCCATCGAAGTCGAATCGAATCGAATCGGAGGAATCGAAACGAGCCCTATCCGATAGGCCTCGAAGACGGAGTCCTGCGCCCGCGAGGGGGCCACCATGCGCCTCGGGCCCTGTAGGCGCACGCGACGGCGGCGCGAGGAGGGCCCGCCGCGGGGACGCCTCGGTCGCCGAGGGCCTCGCGCCGACTGCCGCGGGCCCTCCCCCGACGAATTCGCTGGCCCGACCTCCCCAGCTACTCCAGATTTCGTAATAAAGGGAGGGGGGTCTCATTTCGGGGGGGGGTCTCTTCCAGGCTATCTTGATGTTTTGGAGGGTTCTCCCACGGGGGAGGTCTGAAATGGCTTGTCTTGGAGGGTCCAGACCCCCTCCCTTTTATTACGAAATCTGGAGTAACCACCTTGAGCCAAAATGGCAACGGAATGCTTTTTCTCCGAAGTTGTTCATCCATGGTTTTCCAGAACCGTTCTCCAAGAATTTCTCAGTGATCTCCCAACGGTGCTTCAGAGTTTTGCGAATGCTTTCCCAGTGGCGTTCCAATGATTTCTCGACGGCTTTCCAATGTGGCCCCCAAATAGTTCCTCATGGCTTCCCGATGCGTTTTGATTGCATGCGCTTGCACTTGCTCGCATTTGCATGTTGCTTGCATCTGCGTGTCTTATATGTTACGTGCCTTTGCATTTGCTCATGTTATGTGCATGTGCTTGCGTTTGCCACTGCACTATCATGCACGTTGCGTGCTGGTTGTCAAAGGTTGGTGCCGCACGCGTTGCTGCCCGGTGGTCGGCGCATTCTGGTGAGTACTCTATGGTTGCTACCCTTTGGTTCGCTAAGGTTGGGACCCTGTGGTTGGTGCCCCATTGCTGGTGCCTTGTTTTCAGTGCCCTACGGTTAGGTACTATATGGTAGGCACACCTTATGTATGGCGACACGGTGCACGTCACAAAAAAGCTCCAGGAGCAGGATGGATGCAGCGTCCTCGTGGAACCTAGGGGGGGTGCATCTTGGGATACCTGACGCCGGGAAGTAATCGACGCTGCCCATGCGGCGCACCCATGGCAAACCCTGCGGGCGTCTTCGATTTTCGAACGATTCCACTTGCACTTGCGTCGGCGTTAAGCTCCCCTCCCCACCCCCAAACGTGCAAGTTGCTTTTGGCTTGCATGGGATGCGCCCCCCCCCCCACCCCGTCGATGCAAATAAGCTTGCCGGAATCTAAAAGAAAACCCTAGTCTCTCCGTCCCTGACATCCGGTATTGCGACAAAAATTACAACATCGCAAAAAATCGCGACTGGAGCCCTGGACCCAATCTTTCTGCGTCACTTTTTTGAGCCGGATCGATCTGTGAGGGCCACAGGGCCCGAAACGTGGCGAGAACGCCCGTTTTGAAAAATTGCCACGTCAAGATCAGAGGGGTACCTGTTTGGCGGGTTCTCATGTCGATCGTACCGAATCTGGGGGCGCCTGCTCCTGCGCCGTGTCTAAATCGGGCGTTGGCAGAACTGGGTTTAGTGGAACCTGGTTTAGTGATCTGTACTGGGGGCGCCCCCCCGTCCCATTTCCACTAACTGGAACTGCCATCACCCGAAAAAAACACCAGCTATGGCAAACCTGGTTTAGTGATTCTGGCCAATTCAAAGGCTCCGGGGCCCTACCACTAACTGAATCCCTTTACCTGGGGTCCTGGCCATACCCTACTAAAGCCCCTCGCGTCGTGAACATAATCAGGACGAGAGGCTTTTGGCTGTTTCCGGCCTCTGAGGCCCCTCGCTGGGCCCTGGGACGGCCAGAAGAACTGCTCAGGACCTCTGGGGGTCAACGTTCCCTGAGATCCGACGTGGCATAGAAGATCACGCCCAGAGCCCCAGGCCTCATCTCTCTGCGCCATTGTTCGAGCCGGCTCGATCCGTGAGGGTCCCAGGGCCCGACGTGGAGCGAAGACGCCCGCGGCAAACCAAAAATGCAACGCCAGGACCTCAAAAGGTTCTACGAGCGAAGCACGGCGCCGGGGGTCTGGCGCGCCCGCTCCTGCGCCGCCGCCTCTGCGAGAACAGGAAAACCTCCACAAGAAACCCAAACCCCTGCGTCCACTGCTGTCTGGTGTGGGGCCGCCACGCCTTCCATGACGCAGGCCATCGGAGGCCGAGAAACCCAGGGCACCCCGGAGGCGAGCGGGGCGTTTCTCCTCCGTAGTGCTGTTGGGGTGCGTCGTTCCCAACGCCGCCCGCACCGCCGCCGCCACCGCCTGCGCCGCGTACCCCCCCCGTGTCGCGTCATCTTTCTGCGTCATTCTTCGAGCCGGATCGACCCGTGAGGGTCCCAAGGCCCGACGTGGATCGAAAAAACGCCCGCGGCAAACAACAAAGTGCAACGCCAGGACCTCAAAAGGTTCTGCGAGCGAAGCACGGCGCGCCCGGGGGTCTGGCGCGCCCGCTCCCCGGACCCCCGCGGGGTCGTGATTTTTTCACAACGTCGACCCCCAGAGGTCTGGACCCCTTCCCCGGGACCGATTTTTCGTCCTGAGTCGTTTCCTGACGTTCTCGAGGCCCGGCAAAAGCACCCGGAGGCCGAAAATAGCGGAAAACCTCCCGCCGTGATTTTTTCGCCGCGCGAGGAGGTCTGGCGCGCCCGCTCCTGCGCCGCCGCCTCTGCGAGCGCGCCGCCCCGCGGGCCGCCCCCCCCGCGCGCGCCGCCGCGCCGCTCTCGGGGCGCCCGGCCCCAGCGCCTGGGCCGGCCGCCCGGGCCCGCGGCGCGCGGCGGCGGTCCTGGGGCGCCGCGGCGGCCGGCGAGGGGGCGAGCAGAGGAGGCCCAGACCCCCTCGCGTTATCCGAAAAAATCACGACGGGAGGCTTTTCGCTATTTTTGGCCTCGGGGGGCCCTCACCGGGCCTCGGGGCCGTCAAAAAACGGCTCAGGACGAAGAACCGGTCCCGGGGAAAGGGTCCAGACTTCTGGGGGTCGACGTATTGCAAAATTCATGACGTCGGGGGTCTGGGGGGTGAGAGCCCTCACCCTCCACCTTCCGCACCTTCCGCGCGGCAGGTTCCACGCCGCGGCGGCCGCCGCCGCGGCCGCCTTTTGCGGCTTCCGCCGAGGCCGCAGCAGAGGTTTCGGTGGCGGCGGCGGCGTCCGCCGCGGCGCGGCACCTGCCGCGCGGAAGGTGCGGAAGGTGGAGTGCGGGGGAGGATGAGGTCGGGCATGCCCTCCTGCAGGCGGATTTCTGGGAGGAGAAATGACAAACAGTTCAAAGATGACGAACCTTAGAAAAAATACTAGACAAGCGTCCGTCCCCTGACAATTTGTTTTACCTCATTTCGAATGCTCCTCCTGTAGAGGGACGTGTCCGACTTAAGATGAGGAGGATCCGCCAGCAGATCCAAAACTCTGTGCCATCTCAGGCTTCTCCCAAACAATGAGTCTTACTGGCTGCAGCAAACGAGCGCCATAGGCTTGCACCTAGAGTCCGCTCAACGCGAAAAAGGAGGAGGATCCAGATCCCCTCGGGTAATGTCGAGCTGCTACCACAAGGAACCCTAAATAAGGAACGGGGCCTCTTTTTTCCACAAGTTGAGCTTCAAATGCCCATGGAAACCGAAGGAACACCCAGAACAAAAAACAACACAATTAAGGAACACTGAGCCCCTCCCCAACGAGAAGGGTTCCTTATTCAGCGGCCCGACTGCAATGAAGAAACCGAAACGGGAAGTTTTTCACCACTTTCGGCCCCTGGAAGCCCTTGCTTGCCCTCGGGGCCGTGAGAGAACGACTCTGGAGGAAACGCTGGTCCTGGGAACTGGGCCGAGACCTCTGGGGCGCTGCGAAAAAGTCACACAACGTCGGGGGTCTGGGGGAGGGGAGGAAGAGGGCGAAGCCGAGGGCGAGGAGGAAGGCGAGGGGGAGGAGGGGGGCCCTGGGAGGGGGATGCCCCGCTGTGCGACCTGCTCCCTCAGATGGGGATAGACGTCGTTGCCGCCTGGTTTCGGGGCGTTCATCCCCACCTCGAGCTGGCAGGCTGGTGCCACGAATAGAAGAAGGAGCAAGCAACATAAACATCAACTTCCGGAGGTCCAGGCGGATTTCTTGGATCGGCGCCGGACCCCCTCCCTGGCGCTCGGATCGCGCCAGGGCCGGCGCCGGAGGCGCCGCCACAGGGCCCCAGCGCCGTTCCGAGAAGTCCGCGCGGAGCTCCGAAAAGTACATGTCGATGGTGTGTGTCCCTCCTTCGAGGCGAGGGCGTCCTGCAGTCCCCGGGCTTCGCACCTCGCGCCCCGCAGTGCCCGCCGCGCCCTGCCCAGAGCCCCTCGCGCCGCGAACAAGACTGGAATTCGGAAGGCTTCTGGCCGTCGTCGGCCTGCGGGTCGAGACCTCTGAGGAGGAGGAGGAGGAGGAGGAGGAGGAGGAGGAGGAGGAGGAGGAGGAGGATTTTTCCCAGGGTTTCCTATAGGTCGGCGACCGAAGGAGGAGGAGGAGGAGGAGGAGGAGGAGGAGGAGGAGGAGGGAGGAGGAGCAGGAGGAAGGAGGAGGAGGAGGAGGAGGAGGAGGAGAGGAGGAGGAGGCGGCGAGGGCCTGGGCGGCGAGGCCCCGCTCGAGAAGTGCGGCTCTCCGGCCCAAGCCCCGGCGCGCGGGGCCGCGAGCACCCTCGCGCCCCCCGCGGGGAGGGCCTGGGCCCTCCTCCTCCTCCTCCTCCCTCCTCCTCCTCCTCCTCCTCCCTCCTCCTCCTCCTCCTCCTCCTCATCCCCCATGGCAAACAGATCGGCGCTGCGCCGCTCTGAGGCTCTCGGCGGTCCCGACGGGAGGGCGGACGCCCACAGAGACGGCGAGGGCTCGGCGAGGGCTCGGGAGCGGCGGTGCTAAGCATGTCCGACTCGACTTGTCGTGGGCCGCGGGCAGTTCGGACGGCAGCGGCTCAACCGCATCAGGTGCAACAACATCGCAGAAGATGTGTGACGCAGCGGCTTCTCTGGTCTGACGGCGTCGGACAAGCTGGCCAGAATTCCACCACGCCGTGACCGCGCCTGGTCCGAGCGTCCCCCCCAAAAACGGGGCCAGTGCGGGCTCATCTTGGGTTGTGGCTCGCTTGCAGCGCCCTGCTCTCGGGGGGGGGGCTCTAGAGGCCCGTGACATGCCCCCCTGCTAACTGCTCGCTATGCCCTCTCTTCGGGCTGGCTTGCGTTGCCCCCCCCACCCCCCACCCAGGTGCACCCCCGCGCCCTCCCCGCTCGATTGTCCTCGGAACATGCGCCAGCGCAACCGCGTGCTTGTCCACCGAGGTCCATCAGCGCGGCGCAGGCGGTGCCGTGGGGGCCGCATGGGCTGCGTGCGATCGGTGAAGCTGACCGGGGTCTACACAGGAAGAGGCATCGGCATGAATCGGCGGTGGACAAGCCTCCCTTTCGCAAACCTCCCCTTGGTGAAAACGGCCTGGGACCGAAACCGACGGACCTGGACCCGCAAAAATGACGGCCGCGACGCCCTCTCGCGAACCGAGAACGGCCAACTCCTGTATCGACGCGTCGGGGTGGGAGGCCTATCCACCTCCGCAGGAGCATGAGCTCTGCAGGTCCGAGCGGACCTCTTGCAATCGGCGACGCGCCCCCCCATGACAACGAGAGAGGGTCGGATGACTACCCGCACACCCATGCCGGGTGCTGCCGGCAGCGGTCCCAGCCCAAGGCGCTCCCCAGCTTCCCGTGCCACTTTGGCGCCCCTGGGACCTCGTGGTGCTCTGAGGGCCGTGTGCCCCTCCTCCTCCTCCTCCTCCTCCCCCTCCTCCTCCTCCTCCCCTCCTCCTCCGGTGACATCCCGGGGACACCCTGGGCCAGGGGCACCTCCGGCAACCTGGCAGCCACACCTCCCCGTGGCATAGCAGCTGGCGGCGCGCACCGTGGGGGGGCGCGAGGGCGGGCCTTCTCTAAGCAGGCAGGGGGGGCCTCCCAACTGCGCCACCCCCTTGTGCATCGGGCAGAAAAGTCACGGCCCGAACCCTAGACCCAAAATTCGGTGCGACATGTTCCCGAAACTTCTCGAATACAGAGACGGTCCCG